TGGTCACCTTGGACAGTCCCGGTTGGGTCGCGAGCTCCTTCTACTTGTTACGTCTTTGCTGCAATTGTGGGAGAAAGCGCCTTTTGCCGAAATTCGGGCGCGTTGCATTTTATTCTCAACCCACCAAAATCATGGAGCCGGACTAGTTACTGTCCTTTGAATTGCGCATCTAATTGAACAATCCCCATCGCGCAATGCTACAAGTCATAAAATTTATGCGTTCACTGAACTCAGAAAAGCGCGGGAATCCCTTGACACTCCCCACCGAAGGAATTTCACCACATCCGGTCAAGGGGGGGACTCGTATATAAATTGCTAGAAAACAAGAGACAATTTCTAGCCTCCCATCATTTCAAAGCCACGAAACAAAAATGTGTTGTAGCCTCATTCAAATCTGGCACTCATACGCAGTGATTTCACGTTTAGGTCAGGATGGAATAACTTAGTCACTACTCAAAATCATTCACTTTCACACTCTTAACAAATATAACAGGACTTTATTACACACTTTTAAAATATACTAACATCATACGCGCTAATCAAAACACACATAAATATGGTCAACTCGCAACAGGCTGTATACCCCTTCGTTCACTGTGTCTTACTCTCGCGTGAGTGGGACTAAATACCACTACACCCTTGCATACCCGCGCTTTCACAGCGCCCTCTACAATTGGGCTCTAACAAATGTTAGCCTCACACCTGTCTTTAAATTTTGAAAAATATTGATTGTATATTCAATGGTTTCTTGAAATTCTGTTTAACTATAAATTAAGATATTTCATGAATTGATAAGTGAAGAAATGTTTAATTTTTAACTGAGTTTAATATAATTCAACGAGAATTTTAAGAGAATTTTTTCAATGGTATAGTAAAGTAAAATTTTGAATATTAGGACAAGACTCAAATAAATCCGATTTTTTTTTCAAAATTTTTGTTTAATAATCGTTAATAATCTTTTAGTTGTATTGTTTGCATCTTGACTTAAAATATTTCTTTTTCCAAGCAAATTAATTTGATTGTATTTTCAAGGAAACATTTTCCAGATTAATAGTTTTTGAAATTTTTAACCCGTATAAATAAACATTTTGACACCAAATTTATTTTCTAAATTACTTCATAATGTCCTCTACAAAATAACGAATAAAACTCACATTGCAACATCAGCATTAAATTTTTATAAAACATTATTCACATATTTTCGTTAAAAAAATTTTAAAGTTTCATATAATGTGCCTTACGTGATTCTTAATGTCTGATGGAAAAATATGCACACACGTTTTAGAAACAATTCAAAATTATTGCGCAAATTATTCAGATTTCATGTAGAATAAATTAAATGATGAAATTTTTATCTGGAAGTTAAAGATATTATTATTGTTTTTCATTCTAAAAATTTATCTTTTTAACAAGTCCTACACTATTTGTACCTTCTAATTCTAAAACTCTTCCTCTATCTCATCTCAACTTAATGGGCATTATTAATTTTCTTTCTGTGTAACCATTTTACAAAGAAGTGTTTGTATTCTATAAAGTAAAATTACAGTTACAAATTCTTGAACTGTTGTCTTAAGAGCTCCGAAGTAGTGGTGTTAATTTAACCTAAAATTAGATGTTCATTCCGAATTCTATCTTCGGTTCATTAATGACTTCAAATGATCAACCTCACTAATGTCTGCCTTTGTAACGGCGCTCCCCTTGGGTGCCCTTCTCCTAGATTATCGGCGTGAGCTAGAGGTGTAGAAATAAATGAAGAACTAGAATTAACTAACTAATTAGAGAACTAATATTACTTTATTAAGATCTTAACTTAAACCAATTAGATAAAAATAGGATATGTGAAAGAATCTACGGTGGCTAAACACACAATATATAATACCGAAATAACGTAATCCGGACCACTATCAATAACTAACTCGCCTAAGCTCAATTTCAATGCGAACACAGATCCGAATATTTAAATGGTCACTCCAACCTTAATGTCCGACGAAGCCTCAATCTATCTGATCCTAGCTGAAGTTGCGGTTCACTGGCGTGCAATGGTATGCACCTTGACTAAGGCCTCTCTGTCACAGGTAGCTTCTCTTGACTGTCACTTAACTTCTTGAAATACTCTTCACACTTACCACACGAACTAACGTAACACTCCTCAAATGCCACCCCGCTTACTCTTAACTTCTGTTATTTAAAAGCTTCCTAATTTGCATCTTTCCTTCACGTTTTACTTCTCGGGTTGGTTGGAAAAGAATAGTCATTTACTCTGGCCCCAAAGAACCCAAAAGGACATGTTAATGAAAAAACGCGTGAGCCCGTCACACCTTTATGATTAATTATGTGCCATGAAAAAATTTGAAGTACTTCATTATACATTACCGATTATCAATATTGATTTACTGAACTGAACTCAGTGGCGCAAAAACCCGTGAGGGCCAAGGCCTACTGTGCCTATCTCAGTTTACGTGACCTTAAGCGCTGGGGTGCATGTGCAGATGTTTCGATCTAGTGGTCAGCCTGACGTGTAACTCCCAGTGTCCAGTTCCCAAGCAAGCTCGGTACTCATTTATCGAGCCACTGAATGAATGAAAGGCTGAGTTGATCCTTTCCCAGCCCCGAATTTGAACCCCGGGCCTGTGGCGTAGAAGCGCCACACACTACCACTCGGTCACTGGGCTTCTGACTTTTTATATACTCAATCAAAATATGCAATTTGATAACATTTGTAACGTTGATTTATTCGGAATTAATTTCATTGCAAATATCTGTTGAGCACTCACATATAATTTGCCCTGGATGGTAAATATATGAAAAGTTTAATTTCATATTTTGGGGATTTTGAATAAACGCAACCATTGTCAATTTCTCAAACGAGATTCAGTGTACCATTGTTAAAGCTGAATTACTATATTTAAATCTAATGTTGCTAATACCTCTAGATCAGGGGTGGCCAGCCTTTTTGGGACGAGTGCCACTATCTGATGAAAAAATAATTATTCGTGCCACTTCCAACAAACGAACATGGAAAAGTGAAATTTATGGGATTTTTACGCAATAGTACATTTTTGAATGCAAGTCTACGTATATAGTCGAACTTTAAAAATAATATAATAAATAAGATGAAAGTACAAACTTAGGTTTTATTATTAATAAACCTTTTACAAGTTCAATAAATTGGGTTAGGTATAAAATAAAACTGAGTAACTTGAATCGTTTAACTCAAAATAATTATTAAACGCTCAGTATTTACTTATTTTGGCTTTTGAGTTACTCCTTTTTCTACCAAGTCATCTATATTAGGATTAGCTCTTACAGATGCCCACAAAATTAGGTTTTTATAGGTGCTCATCAGCTAGTTTTCAGTGATATTTATTTTATTATGTTAATAGCAGTAAACATTTATTCGCAAACATATTTTGATCCAAATTTTAGGTTTGTTTATGTCTGAGACAACACCACTTAAATTAAATTGCAAAAGATGGTTAGTTAATATCTTTTCAAATTTCTTAAATTTTTCAGTAGGTCTTTGCGTGCCACTGTAAGAACACTACCTTGCCGCGGGTTGGCCACCCCTGCACTAAAGCATGACCTTTACGCTTACGTATACGGTATATTTTTACCCTCTTAATGCATATGACAAAGCAACAAACTGAATTTTATATTTTAATTAGTTTTCTTGTTTTAATTGTAATCTACAATATTTTATAACGAATATGCCAAAATCAATTAATAAAAAATTCTGTTGGATGATTATTGTAATATTCCCTCCAGGCAGATGCACTCACTAAAGAGGGTTGTGGTTTTTATCAACATACATATTCCTCCTAGAAACATTAAACGTATTATTAGAGAACACTTCCATAAGGGTAGATTCTCTTATATATATTAGAGGGATATTGCAACTGGGAAGTATTGGTCTTCTATATTAAACAAACAGATCTGTGTCTCAGCCAAAAGCTATTTGTGTGGCTTGTTCCAGATTTATGACTGAACATTTTTATTTACTGGCTCACCTTTTCAGAATTAGATTTGTTGATTCTCCTAATTGTGAGTTATGTATTTCTGCTTTATTAACTGGAGAATTTTTTTTCTTAGCAGCTTGAAGCAATGGTCACCAAACATTTTGACCTCATGGACCAGTAAATTTATAATTTAAATCCCATGAACCACTAATATGATTTTGTGAATGTTAAATATATTTATAAAAAAAATTGTGATCTAAGAAAACAATCAATGCATCTTAAAACATAACTTACGTGATAAGTGAGTTTTTCTGGGGACCAGCGAAATTTTCTCACGGACCACTAGTGGTATATATATATATATCTTGTTCAAATTTTTAATTGATAATAAAATACTTTCTACTCATCCACTCAAGTTCAAATACATTTTTTAAACTTATTGCCCGCCACACGGGACTAATACAGATGGACTCTTGAAATTAAAACTTAACAACTTTAATTTAGAACATAAAAGATATAGACAAATGCCAGCAGCTTCGTGCAGCTAAATCCTCTCCTAGCAAGGGACAGTACAGGAACTGAGCATTTCACAGATATTGTATTACACAAAAAGGCAAAGCAAAAAACTTGTTGCCATCGCGCAAAAGTTAAATACAGTAGAAGGCGTTGGTAAGAGACATGACAGTAAAACTAAATATTTTATACAAAACACATATAAAACAGAAATTGTAAGTAATATTGAGAATTGAATAGAAATTAAGTGTATAGAATATAAATGAATATACAAAACACATTAACAATAAAAATACAGTTTGAATAATAATAAAAGTACGGTTTGGATAATCATCAAAATATAATTTGAATCAAAATGAAAATACCATTTAAATAAAAAATAGAATTCCATCCAAACACTTATAGTGGATGAAACTTGATGTTAATACATTTTTTTTAAATATAAATTCAATAATTAAATTTAATTAATGAATAAATAGTGACAAAAATTATAGTCCAACATCATATATAAAAAGGAAAATCACTCGTTGTGTCCCTGTAGCGTAATAGGTTGCGCGTTGGACTTATAATTCAAAGGTCTTGGGTTCGAATCACACCTGGGATGGCCTAATTTCTGAAAACCTTATAGTAATCCCAGAATTTTATTATAAATAAATCCTTCACTCACCAAAACAGATATCTCCCATTTTTATGACTCCAGGAACCGAGAAACCTCAGAATCGTTAAAAATTTAATTTAGTACGCCACTTATTTTTTTCTTCTACATTATAATATTTAATGAAATATTTATGTATCTTTTTATACTGGTACCTGACACACAAAAGCTTGAGGTTGTACAGTTTCTTCATGAAAAATGTGAGACACTTTTGAAAACTTCTACAATTTTTATCACTAATCAAATTTAATTATTTAATGGCTCAAAGTCTATTAAATGTTGGTCTTATTGAATTAATTAAAATACTTATAATGAACTTAGAAAAGTTATTTCATCATGTTATACTTTTACTGTTTCAGAACTTGGCAGGAAAGGCTTTGTGACCCACGTTTCAAATGTTATTCAAATTCGACCATTAGTTTTAGAGGTACTTATTCTAAATACTCCACACACACACACATTTAGTCCTTAATATATTACTTCATTATAATAATTTATTTCCGAAACAATTGCTGTGTTTTTAGCATGTTTGAAAATTTCCGTTGATTTGATGTATATATATAAATTAAGATAACGAAGTTTCTAATAGTCACACATATCTATGGTTTTTAGAAAAATCCAAATTCGTAACTTATTTTCAATTGCATTCTCACATTATTGTTTGAATTTACAGAAATTCATCTGTTACACTCATCACCTAATTTGAATTAATTAGCAATCAATTTAAATTTAAGTGTACTGCTATTGTTTTAAGTAACTTATGTATATCCATTAAATACTCTAATCAGCATGTGATTTATATAATAGTTCTAAAGAATCAACAGAAAGTATATTTAAGGCCAATAGAATTGATGAGGAAAAAAAACCTAAATAGTCTAGGATTAGTAACAAAAGCCTTTCACAACGGGATTGAATCGGTTTTATAATGCTTTAATTAGATTTATTTTAATTTTTTTTAAAAAAAGCTAATTACTAATTAAAAAGATATTGTTGTTCTTAATTAGATAGGTATCTTTATTTTATTTAGATGATTATCGTTATTCTTCTTTTCTTATCTGAATCATTTTTTTCATCTGCGTTCTCAAAACACCCATTCGAATTGTATTGCATCTATTTTTTTTTCTAGAATTCTTCTTTGTGTGTCAATAAATTGATCCTATATTAATTGTTGTTTGCTTATTTAAATATATATATATAAATATATTAGTTTTTAGTATGTTTAATTTATTTCATATCAATTTAAATGATTTTAGAGTAGAAAATGAAGATTAAAATATAATAAAAGGGAACATGAACCAATAGTTTTCAGTGTTTAACAGTTATAAAATAAAAATATTGCGTGAAATCAAATATACAAAATGATGAAATCAAAATAATTTTTTCAAAAAAATATGGATAATAAATCTTTTAAGTACTGCACGTATTTGAAATGTTTAGAACCAGTAAAAATATTTGAAAACTCTGTACATAACACAGCTATTTAATGGGTTCACAACAAACTGCCGTACAAAATTTTTTGGATGCACTAACTCTTGCCTTTCAGAAGGCAACTCATTTTATATAGTCTGATAAAATATAATATATCATTCATTTTAAGTAATCAACCATAATTTGATTAGTTTAAATTAATTGAAAATTAATTTCATGTGCCTTTTAAAGTTTTGTTTATTCTCTTTTCTTAGTAATTTTTTTTTTAATTATTGAATGTTTTTCACTTACAATCTTTTTACATTTTATTAAAAAAAGATCTGTCTTATCTACAAAATTAAAAATTTCTACTTAACATTGATTCAGTCATTTAATTAATCTTATAGCTTAATAAAATAAATATAATAAAAATATAATAAATACAACACAAAATAAGGCTACGTTTGAAAATTTATTGTTATTAGCTAAAAAATAAAGCAAAATGCTGTTTCTGTTAATGTTTCTTTTTTCTAAAACCACCTATTAAGCGTGGATCTGTAATTACACTGGGCAAATTTCTACTTCCAAAATAAATACAGTCAATTCATAATGAATTCCATGTGCTGAACATGAATATATATATATTAGCGTTACCGCTGCCAAAATTGCACCACGAGAATCGTTTTCCTTCAAATAAAATGCGTAAGAATCTTTGTTGTTTAGATATCATGGCGCGATTCACGTGGAGAAAATTTTGCTGTGGTGACGCTAATACGTAAGTACCGAAAAGGATATAAATGTACGTTTATTACAGTACACATGTTAGGAATACTTTAATCTGCTTCGGACGCTCTACTTTTTTTTTTGGTTTGTCGCTTTTAATGGACGTTGCGAGAATCTTTGATGGGCTGCGGTAGCCCAGTGGTTAAGGAATCGGATCATGGCAGGCACTTCATGTGTTCGAGCCCAGTACGACTAAAGACCCCATGTGTGTAGGGCAGCGATGCACGTTAAATCTGTCGAGAGCTGAAACATCCTCCCGTTGGTGTGGTGTGGTAGTAAGGAGAGGGGGGTGCCAGCTCAGGTGTCATCCACGTCACTTGACCATGGTTCAAATTTACGTGGTCCGTCGCTAAAAGCCCTCATGTAGCTGAACAGTGCGAAGTTAATATTCCCTTAGTCACTCGCAAGAATCTTTGAGAAGCGTCCATCAGTGGTCAGCTAACATTGCCGTTGATAAATTCCCCTGTCATCGTTTTACTATGTTGACAAAGTCCTAATGAAAACGTTTGCCCGCTCATCGCAGACCTTTCCCCAGTCATCAGGAAAGAGATACAAGTGAGAGTCCAGAAAGCGGGCCTTTAAGATCATATTGCTACAAAACTCCTGAAATAAGACAACATATCCTCAACTACATCCTTATAGTTTTAATTCTTGTCACTTCCTACGAAGTTTCTTGAATCTTGATAGAACGCATTCCAAGCTTACTTTTTTTTACTCCGAAGAAAAGCTGAAATCCTGAAAAGCTGTCTAATCTGAGGCTCCACAAAAAAGCTTCTTTAATTTTTGTTACGCTGAGTCGAGGTTTATCATAGAAGTGAGGGAGACCGGGCAAGATGAAGGGTGGGGCAAGATAACGAATGTCTTAATCTTTCCGTTTTCCGCTAGGTAGCAGGATCAACCGAACGCTACTGGCTCTCCTATTGGCCGTTCGTTAAACAATAGTATAGAGAAGCTGAAATCGTCATTTTTGTGTTAGTTGTGAAGTTTTGATTAATTAAATAACTTTTATGCATGTGTAAATAAGCTCTGCTCAGATGCAGGCAAGATATATCATTTATCTTTCATATTTATGAGTAACTCAGTTTAAATACTACATACTATCACGAATAAATGACAATTACATTGCTGGGGCCAACGTAAATGCAACACCCTGAAGGAAGCATGCAAATAACATGAAATTTACAACATGCATTGGCGGAGGTGAGATATGCAAATGAGTAGAATTTCAGCGCAGACATACATCACGCGCGCCTGTGGCGCCGCCTCAAAGCGCTATTTAAGGCTTGGAGATTTCGACGATTTCAAGTTCGGCAATTGTGTTTTTCTTGTGGTTTTTTCAAAAAGCGATCAGTTATACCTCGTAGAAAACAGCGATCAGCTTTTGATCAAGTATCCGAGTTCGACAGAGGAAGGATAGTGGCCTACCGAGATTGTGGATTATCTTTCAGGGAAATCGGTAGTCGTGTTGGATGAAACCAAACAACTGTAATGCGGGTATGGGACTGTTGGATGCAGGAGGGTACGACGGACAGACGTGGTCGATCGCATCCACCTCAGTGCACCACTTCACGTGAGGACAGGCAAATTGTGCTCATGGCAGTGACGGATCGCTTAGTCACATCACGAACCAAAGCACAGCACATTGAATCTGTAACGCATCATTCAGTGTCTGCGCGTACCATTCGACGCCGTTTACAGCAGCAACAACTACGCCTACAAAACATTTAATATTAACTTTCAATAGTTCCATACTTCCAAAAACTATTAAAGCTGGATATTTGACCTGTAAAATATGACCTTACGTTCCGAATCCTCTGCGCTTTTTCAAGTGCCAAAGGTTCGGACTCTCGCAAACTGTCTGCTGCAAACAACAAACGTGCTCTAGGTGCACATCTGTTGGACATTAGGGATGGCGATCTGAGATCGATTAATCAAAAAATCGATTTCTCGGACAAAAAAATCGATTTTTTAAATCGATATGTAGCATTGAATCGATTCAGTGAATCGATATTTCATTCTAGAAAATCGACATTCAATTTTTTCTGTTTTGGTAAAAACCATAAAATCATTTACTTTTAGTTGAATGTACTATCTTTAAACACTATTTATCGCAGAAAGTTGTGTACGTGAAGTATGATCCTATACTTTAATGGCAAGAATAAAAAAACTCCATTTATCATCACGTTCACTCAATAGCCATGATGTATTTGAGTATCGTGGGATCATCTGTCCCTTGTGAGCACCTTTTTCGATTGAAGGCAACATCGCAAGGGATTAGCGGAGCCACTTGGATCCCAGTTCACTTGACAAACTGCTATTTTTAAAAAGTTTAGATATTAAGCATTGGGAACTATAATCTGTATTATCTACATATTTTCTAAACTTTTTAATGTATCAAATACATTTAGAAAATGAATATGTCTTCTTTTATACCTAATACTTTGATATGGTAATAAAAATAATTGTAATTGTCGAATTCCCTGAGCTAAAAAAATTTACTCATAAGAGATCGTTTATTATAGCATCTTTCTTGTTTTTTATAAAATTGATTTATATTTACATTGTAAACGTAGACTTGAAAAAAAATCTATTTTTTATAAATCGATCTTTTAAGCCTTGATTTTTTTGTGAATCGATTCATCATGTTGCGATTCGAATCGATTTAAAAATCGATCTTTTTCGGAAAGAATCGCCATCCCTATTGGACATTCCTCCACAGATCGCAATCAAGAGCAGAAATGCATTAATTCTTCGCAGCC